AATCTCAACTGGACTGTCAGCATTCTCTGCCAGTCTCACTACTTCTTTAGTAAATCTCCCCCCTCTCTGGCTTCTCTGCAATTATGATTTTCTATTGTTCCACCACTCCTCAAACTTCTGCTCCTTCGCTCACCATCCCCAAACCACCTAGTACTTGATAGACAAAATGGAAGACACTGCTGGGAATCCTGCACTTCCTGCCACCAAATCTATAAACCTATCGGCATCTGCCCTGTCCTCCTTCCTTGTTGCCTCCAGTGGAGAAGGGGCATCTATTCCTTCCACAGGTACTCAGATAACTCCCCTACCTCCTCCAAATCTTACTCCTGTGCTCATCTGCTCTTTCTCCTGTACTATCAATCTCTCCCTTCCCCTTCGCTCTACTGGATTTTTCCTATTATGATAAAAACATCTTGTCATAGCAGACATATTAGAAAAATAAAATCAGAACCTTTCTTTGGACCTGACCCTCTGGCTTCTTCTCTTTCTTTACACTTCTTCTAAATGATGTATGTTTGAAGAATTTTCTGTTAAGCATCTCCTTCCTCATTCCCATTCACCTAGTCTAGCTCCTGCATGTACCTCTCCACTGCAGCTGCTTTCACACAGGTAAATGAGGTTCTCTGTGTGCACTTTTTCGTCTTGTTTCTCTTGCTGCCCCAGTAGACCACTTCCTTCTTTTCAAAGCATCTGTTTTTAATTCATGACATAACACCCTCCTGGATTTCTCCTTCCTTTCTTGCCTTACACATTTTACTTGGCCACTAACTCCTCCTCTCTTTTACCCATGCAAGTTGACATTCCTCAGAGCTCTGTCCTGTACCTTCATCTAGTCCAGCTCCATCCTGTCTCCCAGATGACCTCATTCACATCTGGGAATTCACAGGCATCTAAATGCTAACCACTCTCACATTTCTACCTCCAGTTAATGTCCCTTGAGTGCCACAACTAACCTAACAGCACAGACATTTCCACATTGATAGCTTTCAGTCACCCCAGATTTAACATGTCCAAATTTCAACTCTTGATCTACTCTCACAAGCTTCAAAATCTGCTTCTGCCACAGTCGTGACACTCCACCTACAATAACTCATGCTAGAATTCTGGGCTAATTCTTGCTATGTCCCTCTCCATATCCCATTTATCACCAACTTCTGTCAGTTCTACATCCAAAACCTATCTTAGACCCATTCCCATCCACTTTTTCAGTCTCACTGCTACCACGTTAGTCCAAGCCATGCTGGATGACTACTTTGGCCTCCTAATGGGTCTCCTACTTTCCCCTTATTATTTTATGCTGTCTATTTCTTAGCAACTTTGGACATATTATAAGGAGGACCAGTCCCTGGAGAAGGA